ACCCTGATTACTTGGAGGTTCATGGGTAGTTATAAGTGGAGTTATAAGTCCCCTAATATGGGTTATAATTACAGTTACCCTACTTATAACTCCACTTATAACTACCCATGAACCTCCAAGTAAGAGCAGAGCAGCCCTGGGACACCAAAAGAGGCCTCGGAGCTTCGGCATCTCGACCTTTCGAGGCTCCTAAGACTGCAAAGAGGGCTTAAGGTTTAGGGTTTGGGTTTGAGGGGTTTAGGGCTTTTAGGGTTTAGGGTTTAGGGTTTGGGGTTTAGGGTTTGGGGTTTAGGGTTTAGGGTTTAGGGTTTGGGGGGAGGAGGGGTTTAGGGTTTGGGGAGGAGGGGTTGAGGGCTTGGGGGCTAAACATTAAGGGCTTCATTGGGGTTTGTAGGGGGGTTAGAGTTTCTGGGATTTAGGGACTTGGATTTCGGGGTTTAGGGGGTTGAGGGTTTCGGGTTCACCTTTCAAAAAACCTGGATTTCGTCAGGACCAATTTATGGATGGGGTAAAACATGAGTTGCAAACTAGAGACGTCGACAATCACAAAACCAGCGGGTCCGTGGCAGACTGAAACCTTCGATACCACATTGCAAAAGCTTTCGAGTGGGCATGTACAGAAGCCCTAAACCTTCAGAAGCCCTGAACTCTAAACTCTAAACCCTCAGAAGCCTTAAACCCTGAACCCTAAGTCCTGAACCGACGCCCTAAGCGAGAACAGAGCAGCAAGCCAGAGCGAGACTGAAATCCGAAAGCCTGCCGCAGAGGGACCTCTTCTCGGAAGCCGGGAGCCCAGACGGTACAATTACGGGTTCAAGAATGCCACTGTAACAAGGCGAAGAGTGAGAATGATATAAGTGGCCGTAGTACGGTAGTGCTACATCCTTGCAACAGCAGCACGAGAGGTTCATGTCAGGACAAAGCTGAATCATTATCGAATGCATCCTCGCCGAGGTAGGGTGGGGTTTCGATGGTCAAGGTGGTGCCAGGTTTGACTTCAGCCGAAGCGTCAGGGTGCGGGGTTTGCAGGGTTCAAGGTTGAAGCCTTTGGGGGCGTAGGGCTTTGAGGTTCGATTTTTGAGGTTTTTGGTGTTTGCCACTTGTGGCTCAGTTTGGGGGACCTGAAGCCCTAAAGCTGAATTCCCAAACCGACTACCAAAAACTCTGAAACCCGAAAACCTTTCAAGTCTTCATCCCTGCGTTTAGTGTTTGTGGGTACACCAAGAAGCCCTGAACACCGAAACCCTGAACCCTAAACCCTGAACACCGAAATCCTCTCAGCGCCCCTAGGCGAGCGTCTGCAGCAGTCCAGCGGCTCCGTCGCCAAGGCCTGTCCACGGCGTGCGGAACTCAGCCTTGCCAAAGGTCTGTGGGTTTACGCCTTTAGGGCCTTCAGGGATTTAGGGGTTTAGGGATTTAGGGTTTAGGGTTTAGGGCCTTTAGGGATGGGGTTTATGCAAGATGTCTGCGACCATCCAAGCGAGCACGCCAAGATGCTGAACAGGGCGACATACAGTGCGAATTAAAATACAAATCCAAGCATTGCGCCGTTTGCGCGCTGCTCTTGCCAACTTTGTATTTCAATTCCAGACCGCAACGGGACTACGCCATGGAACAGGGAAATGCAGTGCCTGTACCGGTGGACAAATCATAACCGCAGTGATGGCGGGGTAATCCACACCATGAAACACCTTATGAAATAGCTCATGTGGCGGTTGCCGGATATCCTTCGGCACAACAGACGTCGAAGCCACTGGCACTGTACACGCAAATAGTTGTAGAGTCTCACGTCGCTCGATCTTAATTTCAAGTTCAAGCCGTTTACATACGTCTTTAAACGCGTGGAGGAAAACAGTATAGGTTGTTTACCAAGCGATGGCCTGCTCAGGGCCACAGAAGTGTAATCAGCTTGGCAGATGAATGCTTGCGGCGCTGAGCCTGTCTGTAAGGCCAGAGGCAATCTGCCAGCATTCCATGCTGCCATGTTGACTGGCGCCAGCCATCCTGTGGACACTACAAAATGCAAATAAATCTCCAAGACTGGAAACTCATCCAGGCCTGAACTACCCACAAGAATCGAGGTCCTAGCAAAGCAGCTGCACAAGTAGTTTGTTGAAGACCCTGTGCTTGATCATGCGAAAGGGAGGTCCCCTGAACAATGCCTTTTTGCAGTGAAAAACAAGTTTCGCAACTTGTACATATTCAGCATAGGCCTGTCGGGTTTTTTGAAGAACGTTCCTACGGGAAAGGGAGACCGGCAAGGAAACCAGGGGGGCCCTACTATACCCAGACTGCTCCGGCAATTTCTTTGCGATAACTTGCCACCATGCATTACAAACCGATGCTTTGCATTCCTGTTTGGAAGACAAACATAAATGGATACTTTCGCCAGAGGTGCCCAAACACGACAACCCAGGATGAGGAACCCAACTTAAACAACGAAGTTGCGCCAACAAGTACGTGTACGGACCTGTCGCAGACGAGCTCGCTGATATCGCTAAATTCCCGTGTCTACAGGTGGACTCCGAGTCCTGCACAAAAACCCTACACGAGGAAGTAAGTCGACGGAGAAGAAAAGGGTTTTGGGGTTAAGGGTTGAGAGTTTGGGGCGTAGGGTTTGGGGGTTCTGGGTTTAGGGTTTGGGTTTTCCAGGTCTGTGATTTAGGCTTCAGGGTTTGGGGTTTGGATTCTTAAGGTTTAGAGTGTTTGCCACTATTGCTTGCGTTGGGCTCAGCGATTTCTGTGCTGTCCGTGGTGGCAAGCACGAGCGGTTTTGGGGGAGTTGCGAGGAGAAGCAGGACCGCCCTTGCAACAATGTTGACATGGGGAGTGTATGCTTGCCGTTGCTTTGTGTTTGCATTTCGCACAAGAACACTGCATCTTCGGGCACGGACCCCAAGCTAGGTAAACTCGAAAAGAACTGTTTTGGGTCCGGTGCTTGTGAAGCTTGCGCTGTCAGGCCAGCCGACCCGTCGGTGAAGGACCGCCGGATACCTGACAGAGAGGGAGAGGTTATGGGCTGTGGCCACGAAGCCAACCAACCATAAACCCTCCTCTAAGTAAGCCCTCAACAATGTAGAACCCTGTATTATCAGCCCTAAACGCAATTCTAAGCTCAACTATCAAGCCTACTGCTAACCCAAACCTCTCCAAACGCTTTATAAAGTTTAGGGTTTAGGAAACCCTAAACCTTAAACCCTAGACCGAGACCCTAAACCCCTTAAAGGAGCCCCTTAGAGTACCCGTATAGCCTTATGGATCCGGGAGTCCCAGAGGGACACTTGGGCGGCATTTGGCCAGGTTGGGATGACTCGCAATGGCTCGCCAAGGCCCGGTTGCGACAGTTCTGCTTTACAGGATCCCGCACGCTACGAGTACCGGTTTAGGGCTTGGGGTTTAGGGTTTAGGGTTTTGGGGTTGGGGTTTTGGGTTTTAGGGTTTTGGGGTTTGGGGTTTAGGGTTTTGGGGTTGGGGTTTGGGGTTTTGGGGTTGGGGTGTGAGTATTGGATTGGGGTTTAGGGGTTCTAAAGCCTCGGATGTGACAACACTACATTGACTGTTGACCATGATACGTCACATTATTCCCCAAACCTCAAAAGCCAAACCACGTCAACCCTGGATGAAGGATGCGCATGGGCCTTGAAGTCGGGACAAGAGCCTGGGGAAAGAAATGATGAGTTCAGCGGAACATCGAGTCGGAGCCCAGGCAAGTTCGAAAACCCCCAAACTCTAAACTCTAAACTTCAAGCCGTTTACAAAGCAAGCAAATGCTTCATTTCACTGCCCTGAACTCTAAAACCCTGGGCCACCCAAAACTCAAAGCCCCCATCCCTCTTTCGGTGTTGGCTTCCCCTCCAATCGAGGCCATGGAGTTTCTGAGCGACTTCTCTGGCGGAGCCGATGTGGATATAGGGCTTGAAAGTGCAAGGAGGCCCCTCTGCCGCAGAGCAGAAGCTGTCGTGCAGCGGTGTCCGACTGCATAACTTGAAACCGCATATACCCCAAACCCCAATCGGAACCCAAACCCCAACCCTCCCAAGTTCCAAGAAGCTCCAAATTAATTTAGGGGCCTTAATAATTGCAATAGGGTTTTGGGGCCCATTGTACTCTAATTACATTAGGGAACCCCCAACATGGTATTGGTAATCACTTAGGCCCCTATATAATATTGGAGCCCTACGACGACCACCTGGAAAGGCCAACTGGGCCAATGTCGCCTGAAACCGAGGCAAGGCCTGAGTTTGTGGCTGGGATTCTGTCTTTTTGCGGATGATAGGGGTATATAAGAAAGGGGCCTTGACCAATTCGAACAGTCTCTTTTTTTTTTTTTTGGGGGGGGG